AATATTAGAATAACATAATGAATATATCAAAATGTATACATGTAAAAAACACATTTCCATTATTAAAAAATGTTAATTTTTGACAAGTGATTTAATCTAAATGAATAGATGCCTATGTGCAACTTTGATTTTTTTTTTTTCTCTTTCTGTCAGCTGCAGTGTATCTAGGAATAAAAGCTAGTTGAAATAGCAAACAACATTTGTAGTATACTGGACTATGGCCCATGATGCTACACTTAAAAAGGCTCCCAAACAGACATTTATATTTCCATTATTTTATTTTAGTAACATAATTGTGAGTTGACAACCAAGTTAACCATCCCTCCCTCCATCTCTAGATAGAGTAAACATATTCATCATTCTACTTCTCATTTAAAAACCAGAAAGGCTGCTGAAAATAAGCATAGGAAAGAAAGTAAACCCAGGCCCAAAGATATCATGAAACACTCCAAATTATTTCACATTATCATAGCCACCAGCACCCTGGTAGTTTATAAGAGTTTATGCTTTTCCAATATGTAAATAATAATCCTACTGAATAATCCTACTAAATAGTACCAAGTTATATGGCAATATAATTATAAATCTAATTTATATCGATGGGACCTACTATTCTAGTCATAATACTTGAGAATAAATCTATTACATAAATAGATAAAACATAATAGCAACTTAATAAAAACTGGTTGGTCAATTCTTTTGTGAGAAAAAGTTCTTGGTGACTGGAGAAATACTGAGGTTCTATTCTGAATTAGAGACAAGTATGATAAGACAGCCTTGAGTAAACATGATTTACTTTGACACTCTCCACTTTCAATATTCATTTAGTTTATGAGACCCACATAGGGACACTACTTATGATAATTACTACTTTTTTGACCAATTATAGCCTACATCAGTACTGTTAATCTTTATATTGAAAATTTGTAGTAAATAGTGTAAGTCTTTTGTATATTTCAGTGTAACCGAGTTATTGTATTCTCTGTCTTGAACTTAGAAATATTGAATCTTTGAGCTGGAAAACTGTCCCATTACCAAAGTGAAACTCTCTTTGTGAAAACGTTAATGGATAGTGCAACTAATGTAATAATAAATTCTGATCATTTATATTAGAAAATTTTATTACTAGAACGTGCTACAATATGATCAAGCTGAAAATACAAAATCAAAATATCAAAATATTATCAATGGAAATGAAATGTGGCATCTATGATGTCGTTAAATATGTAGCCACATTTCAAATTCTGCCAAATCTTACTTGTTATGTACTATACTTACATCATAATTACTAAAGAAAAAACTGGTTAACGATAACCTGATATTAAAAAAAGCAAAAATTACAGAAGCTAAGAAATGCAATTTTAACCAGTTATTTTATGTTGGAAGTGAAGCTATATAGTCAAGTTACCTTACATGTAACTAAGAAGACAGTGTGTATGGGTCACTTGACTAGTGGAGCTTATATCATATTTATAGCTGTATTATTTGCACTATTTTAAAAACTCCATTCATAATTTATCTATATTACCTACATTTCAGCAAAGATTTTATACCTTTTAAGTAAATGACCTTGTTTTTGATTCTGGGATAGATATAAAGATGGAAAGCACATCGTTTCTATGTATTGAATCTATTATGATATCTTAGTAAAGCTTCTGTTTAAAATATTTAATCACTATATAAAAATATAAGCTAGTATAGTACTTGCCACATAACAAATGCTCAAAAAAATGTTTGCTATGATTAAATGGAGGTTAGGCAAGGTTAGGTAAATTTGATCTGGTTAAGATCAAGGAATAAGTAGTTTTTAATGGTTAACTAAGTATGCCAGACTGTTACTATGTATAGCTTATAAGAGTCAATTCTTAGAAAATTGGTGAATTTTCTAAGTATTGAAAAGCTATTTCTTTTAACCTGAAATGACAGTTTAAACTTTTACTTTTACTTATCTAGAATGCATGTCAGGATTTTGGTGCAGTTAGTATAGATATGATTCTGCTATAGTTTATTTGTAGAGGGGCTAATTCTTACAGCTTTGTAGTTATAGGTATCAGCAAAAATTTTTATTGTGATTAGAGAAATATTTTCACTTAAATCTGGACAATACCAACATATACCCTGAGAAGAAAGAAACATTCCTTTGCTTTCTCCAAATCACTCAAAGAAATTAGAGCCTACAAGTTAAAGTTGCTCTACCTGTTAGAGGTCCTTGGTATCTGCTAGTAAAAAGATAATCAGTTTTCATATATGTAAAGGGCAATGACTTAACAAATAAAACGTGCCCTAAAAATAGAGATGAGAGTGTGCCTGCTTCTTTCGCCCTTATTTCCAACCTTGCCTCCTTTTGAGACCATGTGATTGACAGTAAATTCCAACATGTAACAAATCTGCCTATATGGAATTGGAAAAGTTATTTCTGTTTTCCCTGCTAAACTACCTTTCACTTCTGAAAGGGAGACTCAGATTCAATGCCTGATTCAATGTCAGATTCAACTATCTTTCACTTCTGAAAGTAAGACTCAGACTCAATAGCAGATTCAATAGACTATCTATTTTAGTCTCAGACTTTAGAGGCTAGTAAGTTTACATTTTATTTTTAAAAAATCAGGACATTTAAAAATAACATTTATTTGTTGTGAGTATTAAAACAGTATCATTTGCTCGACGATTTTACCCTCAATAAAGGAATCCTTAAACTAGTTACTTTCAGGTCATTTCTACCCGTTTCTAGTTTCTTTAATATATTACCAAGACTTGCTATCTGTTTGGATATGCATTGTATAATGTACAATACTACATTTAAAACATTTACTCTTAGGTGAACCACATGATTTTATTCTATTCTAATCATACCTATATGCACTTCTATTTGGTTTGATTCCTTAATTTTTACTTTTTCTAATCACCAAATTGAATATTATGGCATAAGTAAATAAGTTATTTAGAATGTGTATATGTCTATTAAAATAACAACAACAAAAAAAACCCAAAAAACTTTAGTGATTAGGTTGTTAGCCAAAAAGGTACAGACTTTGATTATATGGAATTTTAAGAAACAACAGTCTCTTTGTGTTTTATTTTCAAACAATTCTCCTAAACCACAGGTTGACCAATTACAATGATTTTTAGTTAAGCATAGCGGGAAGAAGAGAGAAAATGGAATAGAAACCTGTGTGGTTAATGGAAGATCTTTCATCAGCTGTGATGGTGAAGTATAGTTACCATTAGAACCTAAAGTTATTCAAAGGAGAGGTCCCACTTGACATCACATAAGTTCTTTCTCTCTTTTCCCCAAATCCTAATAAGACTCATTAAGACAGAGAAACAGAAATCATAAATGTGATTCACATTACTGTACTACTTTCTTCTCTGGGCACAATGTTTACTTTCATGGGGGAATCATCTTGCTTAGTTTGTATGGTAATAGAAATGATATCTCAGATGTGGTTGTTAGAATACTAATTTTAGAAAAAAGGTGGCACATGGAGAGAAAAAACTTCTTCGATTAAAAATATATACTCAAAAGAAAATGATAAGCATGCTTTCCTTGTGACACTATAACTTTATTTTTCTCAACATTTTAAGCAATATTATGGTACATTACTCAGTATTCTGTCAGAAAAACTGAAACAATGTCTGAACAATTACAGTGGTGGGTTCCACTTCAATGGTTTCTTTTGAGAACTAAAGCAAATTAGCTCAAGAATCACTATTTCTACACTCTTACTCTTTTGGCTTTAAGTGGCTTTTGAAGGGAGTATCCCCAGATGAGAAACTTCTAACACTCCTGCAGAGATGACCTGCTTGAAGAACTGGCTGCCTGATTAACTATTAACTGCTCTCAATAGGATTAGATAATTAAGGACATTGATGACCATTAATTAGGAGGAGGGCACATTAATTTGTCACTGGATAGGGCCCTTACAATGATTTATAGGTTAGTGCTACTTGCAAATGTGAAGAGAAAGAGAAAAAGAGAGAGCACCATTAAGTTACCTTATCAAGTGGCCAGCTTAAAGAGGGCAGAGGGTCAAAAAAGGGCCAAAGTGGTCACTTAAGGGTGAAGTCCCAAACACCAAAGCAGTGCCAAGCCACATTGACCATCATTTGGTGATGAAGTTAAAAATATGCTAATTTATTGGTGGCAATTCTCTCTTTTTATGGTTTCAAGCAGTTAAGACAAGTGGCCTGCTTAGGAGCTTTTCATTTGAAAAGAGATTAAACAAAATGGTTTGTCAAGGCTGCTTGGCTGTTTTATGTCTTTGTTAAAAAAAAAAATTGCACTGACTATACTGATAACTATCACATCACCCAAAAGCCATCTCTCTCTGAGCATTTACTTCGTTAATAAATACATCAATTCTAATTGCTTAACAGATCTCTGTTCATTTGCTCTTTAGCAAGATTAAGTTGAAATAAATCTTTTGTCCTACTACTTTCTGTCACCATTGCTTACATGAGGGTCACAAAAAAGGTTGCAGTGTCTTAGAAAATGTCCTTAAAGATACTAGTGTAAATTATAACTTGTTTAGTTCCACTCCGAAAGAGAAAGGTAATTTGCTTTCCTTTACTAATACTTTTCCTTACTAATAGTAAAGAAAAATGCTTTTAAAATGGAGATAAGAATCCTCTTAGCCACAGACAATTGTGGGCAGCATTCACATTCCACACACAAGTAAGCACAGCTCATTAACATTTAATTAAATATGCTTTTGAAAGCCATGGAAATATGCATATCATATTTATCATGTAAGTTTAGACCTTACTTTTAATAGATATTCAAAAGAAAATTATCTTTGCCATATTTGATGTATTGTAAAAATAAAACAATAGTCTAAAAAATTATTCTGTTATATCAGAAGAACTTAAAAATATTTAGCATAAAACATGTCCTAAGAATTTCATTAAAGTAAAAATAAGATAAAAATAATATAAAGTAAAAATAGGTTAAAAATAAGTTTACCTCAAGACTGTAAACTAAAACATAAAAATTATCTTACCTCAATGGTGAATAGCTTCCTTTTTAATTTAAAACCTAAGTCTTTGACATCTGATTCGTCACAAACCAAGTTATTAAGCCGAGGAATCTGCCGTATATGAATCAAGCCTTGTGGAGAGAACATTAAAAGAAAAAAAATTTAAAACGTTGTCATCAGATGCATAAATTAATGAGTCTTACAGCAGAATCCTGTAAACTTACATACAAGCATCCTCCCCTTTTAAAACTGGAGCTTACTACCAGGAGCAATGAAGCAAATGGTGTGATTATACTCAAGTAATCAAGCAGAATAAGATAAACAGAAATCCTTGTGCGAGGAAAACTAATTGCACTTTGGTACAGAAGTACAGATGTAAAGAGGGATCTTAATACTTGTCAAAACTACAGCCGGTTTGTGTGTGATTTTCTCTTGTATTTACAGTAAGCAAATATGGCTATCACCTTGCATGCTGCCCACGGCACCACTGAGTGATCTTTATTTTATTAAATGCACCACTAAGCAGGCAGCAAAACAAGGCTTATGAGTTACTGATAACCAGTGAAGCACTCATGAAAAGTATTTCATTTTGTACCTTATTAATGAATTGAACAAACCACTGAAGAAAACTACATTGCAGAGTACCCTCTAAGACCAAATATTAAGCCCTATGCCATCCCAAGACACTCATTTCTATGGCATGTTAGACCTTTATGTAGCTGCTATAAGCTTTGCAACAGTGTTAGGTAAATCATGAGCTTTGGCCTCTTGTCAGCAGAAACACTTGCTAATTTTTTCTGACAAGGGCACTGGATGGCTTTTGTGCAGCCTAATGTAGTTTCTGACTAAACTAGGGGTCATTTCCCACAGAGGAAGACATGGAAGGTTCTTCACTACATCTTTCTGCCTGACTCAGCTCATATTTAAAAATTGCCATCCCAAGGACACTGATTCAAAGCATGGGGAGGAAAGGCAAATTACAGATTTGAACAGAGATAAATCTTATAATATTGCTTCTCTAGTACAAGGTTTTGTGTGTGTGTTTAAATGCATAATAATGTATCTATTAGTCTTAGCTTAAACCTTTTAAGGTACTTGGCTTTAGAAATGGCCTCTTCAAAAATAATTCACCAAAATATCTGACCATTTTTTTAACTTAAAAAATGTAAAAGGTTTCATTAAGGAGATAGCTTTTAGCTACAAATTAAGAATATCTCATACATACTATTTAATAAAATATATTTATTAGAAATAGGCACACCATATTTTTATTTGCATGTTTCTTATTTTAACCTTAGAAATGCTTGCTTAGCTATTCAATGCCTTATAGAATCAATTAATAATTTTATCATCAGGTCATCCTTATTAATAGAAAGTATATTAGTCATTAGAACTACTCATTAATCTGAGGAAATAATTTATCAATTCATAGAGTTTAGCACAAAGAATCATAGCCTTTCAACTTTTGAAATATTTTAATCAAAATAATATTTTTAAGAATATAATTTTCCAAAATGCATAAGCTTCTAATACTTGTCTTATAAAATCTGGAAGCAAGCTTCAAATAAGCGACTCAGTCTTTAAAGGTTTCCATAGAAGTATGGTAGTTCAATAATAATGGTAGTAATAATTTATATATATTAAGAATAAGTAAAAATCTGTTATTCACTACATTCTATATTCAGTTCAGACCTGTAATACTAAGACCTAACTACTACACTTTTACTATTCATATAGTTCTATGTAAGACTCATTACTAAAAAGAATCCCCAAATTAACCAATTGACTAAAATATTACTAAAAGTAAAAAAAAAAAATAATAAGTAAAAAGTCTGATGAATCCACCTGTATTTATATCTAAGTGGCAATATTTTATAATTTGTTCATCACTTAAACTATCAACAAAATGAGTAAAGAGAGAAAAGTCCAAATATAACCAAAGACATTCTCTTTTTGAAAATGTAATTGACTAGGAATCTGTAAATACAATCCAGTAAGTATCCTATCATATGGCTAACTTTGTTAAGTATAAACTGTTGTAGAAAGCTGTTATTAGAATTAATATATTTATTTCAAACATTGCTAATCAGTATGACTGATTTCATGGCTACCTTAAGCCACTAGGACAACAAAATATACATTTGACTGAGCCATGCTTAGTCCTTGGGTTTGACTCCTTTCAGTTATCATAGTCTATAGTCTTAATGTAGTTTGGTAATAAGCTGCCATGGAAGATGGAGAGGAATGGAAAACATTTAACAGATGTATTATAAAATAAAATCCATACTATTTGACAGTAGATATTTGGATTGAACAAGATGCCTCCAGGTAACCTAGAAGCAGCCTGCTTATGCTCTTCTCTTTATGAAGTTGCTACTTACCATGATAATCCTTATACAATGGGTTAGTTTCTCTCTCAGAACCAATAAATGATTCCAGACCAACTACTATATCTGACAAGTTTGTGATGTGGGCAATAACGGCTTTATTCTGCAAAACATGGAAACAAAACAGTAACATTAAATGTTATGTTAATGATAAAATATCTATACAATACCACTATGCCATCTCACGAAAAACTGTGGTGGGGATAGACCATCAACAGAGAAGTAATTTAAAAGTTAAAGCTACTACAGGCTGAAAACTGGATGAAAATATGCCCTTAATTGAACATGCTGGCACATGTAGTCATGCTATTCTAATTGGAAGAACTGAAGGGAAAATATAAATTGGTAGAAGACATAAAATGATTAGTTCTGGTAGAGAACATAAATTGATTATTTTTCACTTGTATTAAGGAACAGGACTACCTTCATTTTCATACATGATTATTTTTCAAATTACTTCATCCATTGCCCATTGGAAAATCTGTCAGACAGCAGGATTCAGAAGCAGTAGATGATGCAGCATAAAGTATAGGGCAAGAGTCCCACTGTTGTCTGTCAGCTGGGACTAGGTCCCAGCCCTATAACAGCTGAGGTCCTCTGTGACATATTAGAAACATGGGGAGGACCAGTAAGAGACTGCAACATGGCTAGCTATGGAGTCTTCTGTTTTCTCTTTCCAGATGCTGCCATTTGGCGCTGGGATAATAATAAAGGGAAAGAAAAGATGGTAGATGACTAACATTTAGACCAGTAGCCTATCCTTTCTTTCTCCACATAATCTGAGTTGAACTGAAATACTGCTAAATACATTTTAATAAATGTCACATTGTGCCACAGATCAAAACAATAGGTTAATATTTTTACATACATAGTATGTCCAGTTATTAAGTAGCAAAAGTTCTAAATACTGAGAATCTCATGGCTATAAATATGTAATCATCAAATATTTGGTAGGGTTTTTTTTTTTTTTTAATTCTTTAATTACTGGAAATCTACTATTCCTTTTAGCCCCTGACAGGGTAGTAGATCAGAAAACTGTGATTATATGCTACAATGTCTTAGACAATTTTTTGCTTAGCAGATCTAGATAAGCTGAAATTTTGTTTTGTAAAATTTTGCAATTTTGAAACTCTCATTTTATACAATGGTAATGTCAACCAGTTAAAAATTAATCTTTGAAGAAAAGAATGGGAAATATAAAACAGTCAAGAAAATTTATCAGCCTGCTATATTCCCTGTTAGGAAGATGTAAAATACAGTAAAATATTTTCATTTTCTGAAAACATAATTATGACTGAGCTTACTAATATTCTTGTTTAAGTCCCATTATAAAGATGGCATAGGAATGAAAAATAAAAAAGGCTGGTCAATGTTATCTGACTTGGTATTATGAAACACATAGCACCTTGTGTCACCAAACATTCTGTTGAAATGACTGGTTAACTCACACCTAGGGCAGTATTTGAAACTCCTTCATAAGTTGGAATGTGTGTTATATAAAGAATGTTTCAGCCTTTGGATCAGTGTTGTTAAAAAGATTCAGTAAAAATAATTATTCTTAATTGTCTTTAATATGTTCAATCACGTGGGCACACTAAGTATAGAAAAACGTATTTGGAAATGCCTATTTTTTCAAAGGCAATTTTTCATTCAATGGTGAGAAAATAATCCAGATTGATTCCTTACTTTCAGTTCTGTGCCACAGGGGATGGTCCTACTCCAGGAATAACGGGGGCTTCAGAGGCCATAAACATGTTCCTCTCAATATTTCTTTAGCCAAAGACCATTATATCAAACTCATCCAGGTTGGGTTTCAGCCAGTTATTCTTCACCCAAACAAAAATGTCTGCCAGACATTCCAACAGCTGGGATACAGTTCACAATGAGTCAACTTGAAAATGATTCATTGTGCTGAGTACTGAACAATGTTGGGGTGGGGGTGGGGTGTGGCTGGGTTGATAGTAAAGGGTGAGAACAAGTGGGAGATGAAGAATAACCATGTGGTTCCCCCATTAAGAAGAATCTTGGATAACAACCAGCAGGCTCTTATCATTTCATTTTTAGGATAAACTCAACTGGGAAGAATACTCCTGTCATGGACCCTCAGATGAACAAGCATTTTATAAAGGCTACTGACAATATTTCTTAATCAAAAAGGTCAGATTTCCTTTTATCTATAAATAAAAGACTAAGCCTTTGTATCTAAATATCTGAATTTAAAATGATACAAGTCAATTTTTGTTAGAACTCAACTACTAAAGATTTCAGTGATATAAACTAGGACTTTCTTAGTTATATGAATAGTATAAATTGTAAGGTTTAAAGATGAGATTAATTTCCATTCTAGTAGTACATAAGCAAGGTACTGTGTATTTAAATGGTCAACCTGACATTTGCTTATTTCAAAGAAGATTTCCTTCTTTCACTGAATCTTAAAATTTACTAATAAACCATTTAATATCCTATAATGTTTATCAACTTTATAAGTTTTTTAAAGGTAGTTTGTGGGAGATTAAAAAAAAAATCAGTTAACCACTCAAAGGGGAAAACTAATGAATTCTAAGTAAAAAATATGTACAGCCTTGATTTCTAAAATTTCCAGAAACTCATTCATGTATTTCATTTATTATATTTCTAAGTTTCACAGGTTTGCATCATAGTTATTAACTACAAACTAAAGTCTATTGAAAAAACTTTTATAAAATATTAGGACAAGAATACCTTTAATCACACTATTACCAAAAAATTGGTTATATTTCACAGTGACCTTACTGCTTTCTGCATAATTATTTTGCAAAATTGTTTGTATAATGTGGCAGACCAGATGCATTGTGAAAGTTGTGGGGATATCTGAAAAACATTTATAGAATAAAAAGCAATGGAAATTATATAAGAATAACACCTAAGTTTTTGACTGAGAAAATGTTTATTTTTATTATAAATTTATTTAAACTTCTAGTTATATGTAGGAGCATAAACTATATTGGGCTTATAATGTACATGTTTTTTAAAAAGTTAAAAAAATCGTTATAGATTACTTCTGTACATTTCCAAGCTTTATAAGGAATATGGTCTATTGATGTAATCTTACCTTAAAACCATTCTTGTCAAAAGGCCTTTCAAATAATAATATTAATATTAAATGGTCTTTTAGGTAAAAGCAGGTTAATTTACTTAGAAGAATCTAAAATTAACAGCTTAAAAAACCCATAAAAGCATAATAATCACAATTCACTTTAGCAGGAATACACTATGGATAATAAATTGTCATAATATAACCAGCAGTGTTCAGAAAGCTTTAGCATAATGATCTGAGCAGAGGCCTTGAAACTGGAACATCCACATTCTCATCTTAACAGACTCTAAGTGTTTTTATGTTATTAACCAAGACGTAAAACCTCTTTGGTCTTCAGTATATATTAACAGCTAGAAATGGAGAAGTAGAGGTATTTGTATAGCAATTACTTAAATTTGAACATAATCTTCGCATTAATTTTGAAGTTGTTACGATACAGTTTCCAATACAGAACATTTCAGTAAGGACATTCAGAATTTACCAATCTGAGTAAATTAATGCTTATGGTGTATGTATGGTATAATGACAACACCCAAGTATGTACAATGATATTGCCACCCTTCCTTCTTGCCCATCTGGATACGAAAATGTAGGATGGCTCAAAAATCCTTCTTATCCTAGACAAATCTCCCTGTGCTCCTGGGTGAAAGTTGTCAGCTCTGGATAGTAGCCAAGACATGACTAGGAGGGAAGCCAGAAGAGAGGAGAGCCAGTGTCCAGGAGTTTTAAGAGTTTGCTGGCAATCTCAAATGGCATTGTATGAAGTTACATAAAGGGCTCTTAAAATTTTCTGTTGCAATGTAATTTAATAAATCATTTAAATTTAAAATATGCCAAATGGTGTTGCAAATAAGCAAAGCAAATCAGATTGTCCAGTCTTCTACCTTTGTATTTCAATTTTAATTTCAAAAAAAAACCTTCAGAGTATTTGTTTTGACTGTTCTCTGTTTGGTTTCATAGAATGTTTCCTGTTTGCCATTATACAATGGTAACACATTTTTTATTAGGATACACCACATCTGTTAAATGGATTTTAAATTAGGGAAGATTTAATGCTCCCTTTCAATTCAAAGTTCTTAAAGTCAAAACTATGAATTTTGTTAAGAGATAAAAATTCAACCACTGCCATTTAAAGTTCCCACAATTTTCAAATAAAAATAGTTCAGATACCTATTTAGTTATCACAGTAACAATTACAATACCTTAAACCCTCAATATTTCTTTATTTTTGAGGATCTAATTATTTCAACAGTATGAAAGATGCAATTTGTACCAATACAAAATATATTTCCAGAAAAAATTTTAATAAGAGGATTAAGAAGTAATTATCCAATAACTTATCAAGAAGCTTGAAAGGAATAAACCAATCAACATAAAGCATTTATGCAATGCCTCAATTAAGAGCAAATTCTTGAGTTACTCTGTATTATTTAAGAAAGATAGCAAAGATAACATGAAAGAGCTCTCATTTGAGTACAAATATAAGATTTGGGACCATAATACCCTGAGAGCACTATTAAGTTAATGTTAAAGACTTAAAGAAATATTTAAGTTACTTTATGTTTGACCATAATACGTGATGTACTGGGTGTGTGTTGGGAAAGAGCGGGGAGGGGAATCCCCACAAGAAAAGCAAGTATGTTATATTCAACAGCTCAGTTTATAACAACATTTCCTGAAAAATGATAATTATAGAACATGAATACAGTAGAAGTTAAGACTTTTCTCGAAGGATAAATCTGGGGATATTTAATGAGATTTATTTTTCTATGCTTATTAAGTTCTCCATTTACAGAAATCATGACTGTGAAATAATAAAGTTGTTGAACTTTTGTTCTGAACTTTTTACAAACTTGCCCAACTTTCCTCAGAGTTGTCACTTACTTCTGTGGATTAGGTTTTTATTTTATTAAAAATATTTGATAGCAGGGAAATAATTCTGTTCATAATTATGAAATTTAGAACATTTGTAATAAACTAATGAAGGTATTAGATTAAATACTTCCAGATTTAACACTGAACTTAAA